AGATCAAACAAGGATAGAAGTGAAGGTTGGGAGTTGGAGTCATCCAAGACATGGAATTGCATAGGTAAACTCAGAGGGAAGTCGCGGTCAAAATGGCGAGGGAGAGAAGGTTTATTGAGTACGTGGTCTACTTCTATGACCACAGTGGCAAGCTGCATAGCACCGGCTCGTTGCTAGAGACGGTGGAGCAGGCTAGGGCAAAGCCTGGGTAAGCGCAAAGAATACACAAATTTACCTTTCAGCTTTTATCGTCAGGCAACCAACAGTTTACTCAACATTAACAGTCAGTCACTCGAGTTGTCAGAGAGCCTCAACAGAAAATCAATCAGCAATCAATCATCATCCAAGCAGCACTCATTCGTTCAGAACACTCGAGACGAGATTTTCAGTCAGAAACACTCGGCGCTGTTATTAGTGAGCCGTACTTGGTGAGCAATACTCAACGCTGTTATCAGTGAGCAGTGCTCAGCGCTGTGGTCAGTGTGCAGTGCTCAACGCTGCTATCAAGTGAGCAATACTTTGTGTAGCTATAAAGTGGGTAGTAATCATTTAGTATTCATTCAGCATTCATTCAGTGTTCACTCAATATTCTTTCACTAATCATTCAGTATTCATTCAGTATCCATTCAGTGTTCATTCAATATTCTTTCAGTATTCATTTAGTGTTCATTTAGTATTCATTCAACATTCAATCGGTATTTGAACAGTACCCAGTCAGTATTCGATCAACATTCAGTCATCCGGGTCACTCAAACCTTCTAATCAAGACTAATCAGCTTCAATACTCGACTAGCACATGAGCACAGTTCAGTCATTCCCGGACAAGGAGTCGGTTTTCACCGGCCTCAATCAGATCGCTTCTAAAGATGCCTTCCAGCATCGATATGTCAATGCAACTGGTTTCGAGTGAGATGAACTATCTATCTTTGTGGTCCACACTGAGTTCGCTGAGGGAACTATTCATGACCTGAGACCCTATGTAAAGAAGGGGAAAGAGACTCATCAGCACTTCGATTCGGTCTGGTTCACGACAACCAGGTACCTTGAAGAGTAAGAGAAAGAGCTTGATGAGAACGGAACAAAACTGATCCGCAGCTTCAGACCCAAACTTTATACCGACTATCCCAGACCTCCAATCCCCTTCACTCTTACGAATGATTCAAACTGGAGTGAACTAGTGGATCTGGCAAAGAGGTACATTTCGCCTGCAGTAATTGATTATGAGGCGGTGACTGAACCAGCAGAGTTTGAGCATCTCAGACGAGGGATTTTCTCACGACCGTATCTTCCTACTCTACGAGAGGAGTTTTGTGCTATGGTTGATTTTCGTGTTATGGGACTTGGATGAAAGTGTTCATAGTTAGCAGGCTTCAGGTGGCTCTACATACAGAAACCACAACCTTAGAGAGTACGGAGACATGGCCGAAAACCCAAACGACAGACAACAAAATGAGAGATTGAGTGTGAGGAATCAGAGGGATGAGTGAGGACTCTTGATTGGTGTTGGCCATACTCTCCATATGTGTACTTTCTGAGATTATTACGAGTTATCATTCTTCCCTCACTTAACCTTGTCATTGCTCGAGTCAGTCAGTCCCGCATCGTTTGCATTGACCTTGCTCGATGACTATGCTTTATGATGGTCTTGTCACAATTCTCAAAATTAGTAAATTGACAAAACTGATGCATGCATGACACACCAGAAACTTCATGATTATTATTCGCATGATTCTTTGCTGTTCCGAATCAAAATAAAAGATTCCTAAGATCGGGGGCTGACGAAGACCGTAATTGAAGGGTCTCGCTCGAAGCTGAAGGCACACAACAAGAAGGGATATTGCATTATTTAATTTATTTTATTTATTGCAAACTTTAACAAAATTCTTCGTGATAGCCTGTTGGCTTTCTGGTCGCCTGAAGAGGCGCGACTAGAAAAAGTTGCGACAGCGTGGGGAGGGAACGAGGGCAGGTAGTTCCCACCGCCACGGATCTCAAATTGAGGCTCATCTGGGCCATTGATCTTGGAGATCTACGGCGCACTTCGGCCTTGATTTCGAATTGTGTTGTGTGAAATTGGACCTACTGGCCCTGTTTTTATTTTTTTTTCATTGGCCTGGATGACCTCCTATGGGGGCAAAAAGACTCCCCGCGTTGAAATAGGTCGAACCCCACCCCCCTTCTATGATGTGCTGCGGTTGCCCGGTGGTTGCCCGGTGGCCAACTGAGCGGGACAACCAGCCAGCCCCCCCCCCTCGCCCGCCCGAGTGACGACCAGGTCCCCGGGCCAGCCTAGTCGTTTTCTTAAAAAAACAAAAGTAGAAAAAGTTAAGCATTGGAAGACTGACTTTAGAACGTGGAAGGTTAATCCCTTGCGACTTAGAAGGTGCTTTGACGCAACTTCGTTACAAGAACCTACGACCGAGTTCTGTGTATATCTCTATAGGTATTGTTGTCGTAACAACTTTTGGGTATTAGTGGTGGTTATGTGCATGAGAATTTTGAGCAGCAGTGCTGCGTTCTAGCGGTGGTTATGTGCAACCGGCCTAATTGGTTTCTGATAGAAGAGAGGAAGTACTGTCGTCCTCGGAATCAAACATACGGTCATTGTATCCACATTTTGCCCACGATTCCGTCCAGATGCAGCGAAAATGAGTGTGATCTATGTGGTTGAAGACCGTAGGTGGGGAGCATGGTGGTCTCCCATGAGGTCAGTAGGTTTGTTGACAACCTTCGTTGTGGCACAACTCTGTACGACACTGTTGGCACACATGCACTGAATGCACTGTTGTAGTCTGTCTGCATTCGCAGTTGCATGTTGGCAACGGTGTCATGTTCTAATGTTCTTGTTTTCTCAATGGAAGCAACCTCCTGTGTTCTAATGTATGTCAGTGTATTTGCTGCCTGCTATGTAGTTGTCCTCATTCCCCATGAAAAATGGTGCAACTCATCTTCAATGTCCGCAACCCTTATTGGCTTTGCACTGCTCGGCTACCCCTTGTTTCTCCATGTTCTTTAGACCACAAGTATCTTCCCTAGCAATTATGTTATGACGGTGGCGTTAACACGCCACATCTTTCAGCTTGCGGCCTCCTGAAACGAAATGGCTGGGAGCGTGGGCAAAGTTTATTCTGTCAGCTTCTCCTGATCAACTTCACAAACTTGGGAACTCTGTAGAGGGCAACATCATTCTCTCTCCCCATCCAGACCCCCTTTTTGTCTCTCTTTTCTGACTCCCTTTTTGTCTTCTTTCCTTTTTTTTCCCTCTTTTTTCTTTTTTCTCGTTTTTTTAAAAATTTCGAAATGATTTTGTGTTTCTTGGAGTAAGCGTAACAAATTCATTTTAGTGGTTAAATGAATATAATTTTTATGTATTTTAACAGCGTAGTTGTCAAAAGAGATGACTGTGACAAGTTTGTCCAAAAATTGTAAATGCTACGTCCTCGTAGGGTGCGCTCTGAGTCTCTGACCTTTTTGCAGTGCTTTGCGCCTTTTTTTCGTTAAATTTGGACCATTGCTCGAGTTATGCAATGTCGTCCTTGTGCTGCAGGGGCCATGCTAATCTTTTCATTATTATTATATTATCCATAACACTCCTTATCCATATCACTCTTTATCCATAACACTCTTTAAGCAAATAGCGGTCCTCGCGTAGCGCTCTCGCGCGAGGCCGCTGTCCACTGTTGGGAAACGCAGTGGGACCGGCGGGCGGGCCCGACAAATATGGCCTACGACATTCGGCCTGGGCCGAGCCGGTGAGAGTCGTCGGGATTGTTGAGAGGGCCTGCGTTGGACGGCCCGATAGAGTTTTCGGGATTGGCGCCAGGCGATTCCCGAAACTTCTATCGGGCCGTCCAACGCGGGCCCGATCGGCGATCCTGCTTTCGTGTTTATGTGCAGCTTCCCGCCGTAATGTTAAGCTTTGCTGTTTCAATCGCTTTGCTGCTTGAATGCGACTCGGTTCGACAATACGTGTTGCTTCCCATGTTGCTTCCCGCGGTGATGTCTCGATTCGCTGCTTGAGAGAGAGAGAGAGAGAG